AGAAATTAAAATTTTCCAAGGTAATGTTACTGAAGAAATAAACTACTCTTAAGTTTAGTTCCTATGGCTAAAAATATACAGAAAACAAACTCAATGGCATCTTTGGATTCTCTTTGTCTCATATTGTCATAAAAAGGATTTCTTCTTTTAATTATATATAGGTTTTACTTTTACATGTAGAATGTATCTGTGCGGATGTTTTTTTTATACAAATCTATCAAAAAATCAAAGTAGCATAAACCACTGATATTAAAGTAAATTTAATAGAGAATTTGAGGGAGATGATTAAACAGTATAGTTTTATTCTATTACAAGTAAAGATAGATAATAGCAAAACAGAAACCTAAAGCCTCGAATCAGACTAATGACTGTTTGCAATGAACATGTGTGAGTAAAAGTATATGGACTGAAGGGTGGACTGTGTGACACACTATAGCTTCCACTATGAAATTTTTCATTTTCTTTTAATAATCATTTTCTTTTCCCTTAAAATTTATTTTTCTTTATTGTGGGAGGTGGCAAGGGTGGATATGAAGTGCTGGAGAGATCTATGTGATTGAGATGCAAGATGTGAAACCTACAAAAAATGAGAAAATATTTTAGAAAGTGAAGATAAAATTAAGTCCTTAAATTTAAATTTTAGAATTGAGTTTGAAATATACCAAAAAGTAACATCATTGATTCTTCTTTCTCCTCTTTTCATTATTTTATTTTTGAGATTGTAATAGAATTACATAATTCTTCCCTTGCTTTTCTCAAATTCATGGTCTTTAAATAATTAATTGCTGTTACATACGTAAGTATATTTATCTCTATATTTATATATTTCTAAATACTTTAAGTACAAACTTCTCTGTCTGCATACTCTTATTAATGTATTTTCAAGGTTGATTATTTGGTAAGAATATTTGTTCTCTCACAACATTAACAACTAATTTTTGAGCAAATTTTCATTGGAGACTCAGAGCTTCTTGGGATGAGTCTCTCTCAGTGTCAGAGAGTCATAAATATAGTGCCATGTGGTTTCAGAAATAAACTGGGTGTATTTACTTCTTTGGGATGTGTTACATACTATAATAATATATAACTATTAATTTTTTAATTATTTAATTTTTGAAATTTCTTTTTTCATTATAAGGTTTTCACTTTACTTGTCAGTTATCTATTATTTCTTTTTAATGCATAAGTACATCTTTTTCATATGGATTATTTAGGAAAAGAAACTTATCCAGGAAAGATTTGTTAACTTCAATGTGTTCCAAGCAGTCTAACAATATCACCTATAATGATGCAACAGTCTAGTCCATTGGAAATAGAGACGATGTGACGAGTTGATTATTCCTGTAAAATTACCTACAAAAATAAATTGAGAATTATTTTGCTGTTTTGACAGGAAATGACCCAAGGGATTTATGAAAACTATTATATCCATGATTGAAGCTGCCTTAGTGTTTCGTCTTTGATATGTCACGTTGTCTTGTATCCTTTACTGCTTATTCAGTCCTGGAAGATATCTGCAACTTATGTGAGGTTGAGGAGAGATAGGCAACATTCTTTTAAATCAGAAAGAAAGAGTGTAGGAATATTATGAATGGATTAAAAGCTGTAAAATTCTGACCTGTATAGGGAAAACCCTATTACTGACTTCTATGACTTCAGGCTTTTATGTTGCTATATGAAAACTTTAGTACCTAGGCAAACAGATACTGTCTTTTTCAGTCATTAACACAAAGTCATTTTGTTATTGTTGCTTCACTATCACTGCCCAAAAGGAAATACTATGCATAAATAATTTTGTGGTTTAGACTTACTTTACTTATACCATCAAAACTGGGCTTAGACAAGATATTTTCCATGGATTCGGTAATTTTACATGAATATGGCTTCTTTATTTTCCTATGAAAGTATTTTTAGTAGATAAGGATGACAGTTACCATTTTTTTGTAAATAATGACATAATATTTAAGGATTGTTTAAAACATTCTTCATAAATATATTTATAGCTTATATCTAGCACTCACCCTCCGTAAAAGAGGAGATGGTTTCCCTACTAAAGGCAAATGCAAATATGAATTATTGAAGCTATCTGTGGATGGTTGGTGAGTATTATTATGATGTGCTTAAATGTAACCAATGTCTTAAAGACAATATTGTGGTGGTATCTGGATTGGGAAAATTAAGGAATTAAGGTTGAAAGACACAGAAGTTAGTTGGAATATGCACAGCAAATAATTTTAAGCCTGATTGGTATTCAATTTGTACTTTACTCAACATGCATCTCAATTTACGTGTATAATACTGACAATCTAATTTATGACAGACTTTGTTTTTGTGGTGTTTTACTTCTTGTTAACAAAGAAATGTGATTATCTTAAATATTTGTATTAGATCATTTAAAATTCTATAATAAATATGATGCAGCACAAAGAAAATGTGCATAATATGTAGATTTTATTAGTAGTTTTTAAAATGATTCAAAATACATGGTAGTGGTTCTAAACACAAAAAAACATGATCAAAGAATATAGTATCTACTGTCACAGAAATTTTAAGAAATCTTAATACAATACTGGGTTTGTAAAACTTGTAGTAAACATTTTTTTCTAGAAATGCATCTAAGTGACAGTTTAAATTAAAAGTATAGTCTTTTTTTTTAATAGTATTTTCAATTTTTTTGGAAATGTGATCTATGTAGTATACTACACAGTTTAGGGACTCTATTTTCAGTCTTCTTTTCTAATGATTTGACTAGTCAATACAGACTTTTCCTGGTAAAGTACTGTACTAATAGTCAATTATATCAGAATGTTGTGAAATAAGTTGTTGGATATGGAGTACTTTCCTACTTAAGACATTCAGCAGGTACTCAGATTTAACATTGTTTATAACCTGAGTCAGATGTTGGACATAATGATTAGGCAGCACAAACAGGATGCATCAAAGGACACTTTGAAATAAACTTCAGCCTTTCTTCACATGTTCCTTATACTATTAAAGGCACATGAACAGAATGTTTCTACATGAAATAGTTTATTCCAGAGTTAAATATTGCCAGTACTTACCTGTAATAACATATATAATTCTTAATAATACAGCTTAATCCCATGACTCAAAATTTGTTCAATAAGTTTATGTTTTTTTTTAATACTTATGTTTTTGCCATTAACATATTAACAGATTCTGTGATAGATTTTCTACTTCCTCATATAGACAAGTTAACAGCATCAATAACAGCTATCATTTATCTAGATTTCAGCTGGTGCTAAACAGGGCTTTAAGAAATTTATATGCTACAGAATCACCAACAAAAACAACGATGTTAGCAGAGGGAGTAGATGTTAACTGTGTCTCTACAGAGTAGGTTAGTTAGAGGCATAGGGATGCTTGTTCTTACAAGTGAATGAACCCTGAGTTTGCAACACTCATCATATGGCTACAAAGTTTGCTTAAATATCCATTGTCATATTCTCTGACTTTATGTATCTGTCCTGGTTTTCTAGGGAAAGTGCAAGTCACTCTTAAGTCACTTTAGTTAGTACAATCTCTTTTCTACTGGCTGACCCTTATCCCCCCCCTCAAAAAGTAGTAAGCCTGGGAGATTTGCATGAAGGTAAACATGAATAAATAAAAGACATTGTCAGCAGAATAGAGAGAGTTAGATCGGTACTACCACTCTTTAAATTAAAAATACATTTATTTTACATGTATGAATATTTATAATGCATGAATATACATGTGCCATGTGTATGCCTAGTGCCCATGGAGAAAGCATCAGAAGAAAGCATCGGATAATCTGGAACTGGAGTCACAGGTGTTATAAGCCACCATGTCGGTACTTGAACAGAACCCTTACCTTCTGTAGAGTAACAAGTGCTCCTACTTAATGGCTATCTTTCAGCCTCTGCACTAATAGTCTTGTAGGTCTCTGGCCAGAGATGATTCTGTAATCCTTGTATTTATTTCATCTCAACTTCTGCATGAAATTTAAGAAACATTTGTAATTAAATTTAGAAAATGACTGAGACAGTTGCCTTCCCATAATTAGTGTAGGCTAGTCTCTTTGATATGCTCATCTTGGAAATCTTTACCAAAAATTTTAACTTGAGCATTCTCTACTCAGGATAAAAAAATATCAGTTCCCTCTAAATCTGATTTCAGTTTTTATTTTCTCATGTTTCATTGACAATTCATTCGAAGTGATCTAAAAACATTAAAATGTAACTGATGTGGTACTTGCTTGCATGAGTTTCAAATGCTCTGTTAAACCATACATGATCAAAACTGGGGATCAAAATTGAATCCCCAGTGAAGGCAAAGGTGAAATGAACAGAATTTTGTCTATTTGGAGCATCTAAGGAGTCATATGAAGTAACTGATAGAGATATAAATGGGCTAAGTAATTTATTAATTATAGATGATGTTTAAATTCAAACTTCATAAAATTCAATGAAAGAGACTTTAAAACTGGAAGTTCTTCAAGATATGGTGGTCAATATTTAAAACCAAAATCTAATAGCAATGAGCTGAATGGTTGTAGAGATCATGATTACATTTTGAAGATAAAGGAATCAAATACATCCATCCAGACAAAGACTGTTAATCAACACAATGATGATCTATTTATATTCTAGAGATAAGATTCCTCAAAAGCAGGAGACTTATCACTGCATTTTGTCTGATAATTGTGCTAAAAAGTGACATTTTAAACAAGAAGAATGTGATATAGAACTTCACTACCATTTTTCTTTAGTGTTTTCTTTATAATTAACTTTTATATTACACTTTATAGTAGACAAAGTGATAGACTTCATGTCATCTGCACACATATAAGCTTTAATAATTTTATTGCATTGTTTTCATTTTTGGCCTTTCCCACTTCAGCTGCTTCTTTTGCTTTGTCCCATTTGTTCCTACTTGTTTTTCCTTACCATACAGTGTCCGTTAAAATTTGTCACTTGACATTTAACAATGCATCTTATCGTTTAATAAAATAAGAAAAATCCAACTCCAAAGCAATATATGGCAAAAAGATAATTACTGGCAGGAATGATTGAAATGAAGAGAACAATACATAGGTAGATCAAGTAAGTGGTTCTTGGAGAATAAGAATGACAAGACAGATGAAACCCTAACTAAACTGCCCACTGCACCTTGACATATGACATTATATTTTCAGGATCAACAAAATCTCTTAAGGAAAGGAGCTAACATAGGATTGCTGGGCTCATTGGAAAAAACTAGAAATGATTATTAAATTCATACTTCAGATTCACCCATGGAACAGATAATAATGTGGTATATGCCATAGTGAAATGATGGTCATGATCATAACACCATGGAAGGATCTGATCAATACCTTTCATCAACAAAACAGCACTTCTAAAAGGCTTAATGGGACAGGAAACCAATATCACAGAGTTTGTTCTTCTTGGCCTCACTCAGGACCCTGCTGGGCAAAAAGCATTATTTGTTATGTTTTTGCTCATCTATATTGTGACAATAGTGGGTAACCTGGTCATTGTGGGGACAATCATTGCTAGCCCCTCCTTAGGAACCCCAATGTACTTCTTCCTTGCCTATCTTTCACTTCTGGATGCTGTTTATTCCACTACTATTTCACCCAAGTTGATGGTAGACTTGCTGTGTGATAGAAAGACCATTTCCTTTCCAGCTTGCATGAGTCAACTCTTTTTAGAACACCTACTTGGTGGTGCTGAGGTATTTCTTCTGGTGGTGATGGCCTATGATCGTTATGTGGCCATCTGCAAACCATTGCATTATTTGATCATCATGAATCGGCGGTTTTGCTTCCTCCTGTTGGTGGTGTCCTGGACTGGAGGCCTTGCACATTCTGTGGCTCAACTTCTCTTTGTATACAACTTGCCCTTCTGTGGTCCCAATGTCCTTGACCATTTTATCTGTGACATGTACCCATTATTAGGACTTGCATGTACTGATACATACGTCATTGGACTCACTGTGGTTGCCAATGGTGGAGCAATATGTATTTTAGTCTTTATCATTCTCATAATCTCCTACGGAATCATCCTACGATCACTTAAGACTCACAGTCAGGAAGGGAGGCACAAAGCCCTATCCACCTGCAGCTCCCACATCATGGTGATTGTCCTCTTTTTTGTTCCCTGTATTTTCATGTATGTTAGACCTGTTTACAACTTTTCTATTGATAAATCCATTACTGTTTTTTATACAATTATCACTCCTATTTTGAACCCTTTAATATATGCCTTAAGAAATTCGGAGATGAAAAAGTGTATGGAACACCTATTCTGCAAAGTTTTATCTACAGATAGAATAATAAGTGTCTTCTCACTGAATGTGCTAGCAGTTGTAAGGTAAGTAATGAGCAATAAGTTGTAAGAAGGGATGATGGAACTAATTCAGTGTATCTATACTGTTGATTTTCTTTGAAGAAATCCATAAGAAAAAATATCAAAAATAATCACTTGAGATTAGAAACAAGTCTATTGCCATACCACACTGAATGTGATTGATATCATCTCAGATTAAAAACAATTTAATGGATGATTTCTGGAATATTAATAAAGGATATAATGCTTAGTCTATACAGGAAAATTTATGCTCAGTGTATTCTATTTTTCTTAGTTAAGATAAAAATATGTATTAGAATAAAGTGTTTCTTTTCTTTTGTGCAGTGAAGAAAAGACATTTTTGTCTGCATATCACCATTCATGCTGTTGGTAATAGATACATTCCTGGAATCAATGAGATTACTCTGTAATTAAGCTGATTATATAGCCACATGCTTATTGTTTTAGACTTCCTATTTCTGCTTACTTCAGTGTCTTTTTCTAGTTTATGGTCCTTGGTTAGCAGATGTAATTTGTTTAATAACACAAAAAATGGTCAGTTTTGTTAGTTGGTCTATTGTTCATGATTAACAACATACCCTAATTTCTAACCATGGAAAAACTCATAAAGCCAAAATGGAAATATATTTTAATTATGCTTAATAGTCAATAATGCATTAAATCTTTCTCTTTAAAGACTAAGTACTTTTCATTGTTTTAGCCATGATATTGAAGAAATAGTAAAGAAAGGATTTCCATAAACATAGTATTTCCTAAAAGTTGTAATAAATTTCTACTATTTTCTGAAAATTTTTGAAATTATTTATTTTGGTATAGTCAATAGTTTGCTTATTAATTTATAAAAAACAAGTTTCTCAGTCTGAACTTAACTTGGTGAATCATAAAAATATTACAAACAAATAACTTTTTGTTGTGCTATGGAAACTTATGCTTCACAGGAGTTTTACTTGTACTGGTGTCTTATTTTGAAATAAATGTTGATGTTATAAGAAAACACAGATAATTAAAAGAATCATTCAGTGAGTTCATTCTCATCATCTCATATAATTACTCATATCTTCTGCTTTCGTATAACAGCATCTGAAGCTGCAACATCACTCTGACAAGCAGGTAACATATAAATATTATAAATATATATCATACACATGTGAAGATCATGTTTTATATGTATAATAAATATCTTACTTAAATGTATTACACACACACACATATATATATATATATCTGTCTATCTATCATCTACCTATCTATCTGTGTCTATTTCTATATCTATATCCCTTAGTCAGATGACAAAAAGTAGCAGGTACAGATTTATAGGATAAAGAAGAAAATAGATCTAATGTATAATATTATACTCACTTCCTTAATTATAATGTATTTTAAAACTTTAACTTTTTAACAAATTATAATTTTTTAAATTTATTCTTTCCTCACACAATGCATCCCAATTGCAATTTCTCCTCCCTGTTACTCCCCTCAACTATCCTCTCCCCCAGATATACTTCTTCGTTTCCCTTCAGAAAACAGCAAGCTTCCCAAGGATATTAACTGTAGACTACATAACAAATTACAATAAGCTAGGCACAAACCATAATATCAAGGCTGGACAATTCAACTCAGTAGGAAGAAAAGGGTCCTAAGAGCAATCAAAAGAGTCAGAGATACCCCTACTACTACTGTTAAGATTCTCATAAGAGCACCAAGCTACACAGTCATAATATACATGTAGAGAAACCAACTCAGAACGGTACAGGCTCCATGATTGTTGCTTTAGTGTCTGTGAGCCCCTATGAGGCCTGCCTAATTCATTCTGTATGTTATGCCTTCTGGTGTCTTTCTCTCCTCTATGTTCCTCCCACTCTTCCACAGGGTTCCTGGGCTCTGATTTTTGGCTGTGGTTTTCCGCATAAATTCTCCTCAGTTACTAGATAAAGCTTCTCTGGTGATGATTGGTTTATTCTCTATCTATGAGAATATTACAAAGTCATTAAGAATCATTTTATTTACTTTTGCCAAATGTGTTTCATTCCATCCTAGGTTTCTAAGATATTCAGCCTTTAGTTTCTGACCATCCAGGCAGTGTTAGGCATGGACTCTCTCTCAATGAATGGGTCACGAATTAGATCAGTAATTGGTTTGCCACCCCCACTATTCTTTGCTACTATTATCCCAGCACATCTTGCAGACAGGACAAATTGTAGGATATAGGCTTTGTGGCTAGGTTGATGTCCCAGTACCACCACTGGAAGCCTCAATGGTTACAGAAGATAACCAGTTAAGTATCCATATCCCCCATTATTATGAGTCTTTGCTAGAGTCACCCTTGTAGATTCCAGGGAGTTTTGACTGTAATGCATTTCTGCATCCTCCCACAAATGTTCCCAATTCCAGTTTTTCTCCTAGTATTCTCTCCCTCCATTCATACTCCCCTCACCTGATACCTCCTGTTGTCTTGTTCAAGTGCCCCAGTCTTACTTACATAATATTATTTAATTTATACAGATGTTAGCCTCTAAACTGGACGGTTACTAAAATTATTGAAAGTTCTTTATTTTATTTTCTTAATGTAATGTTTGCATCTTTACTCAAGCCTAATTCTGATGCCAAACTTCCTGTTAAATATACTTAAAAATAATATAATTATTAACGTGTATTCTTAAAATATACTTCACAGTTGTAGTGATTTTACTTTAGTTTTACTGGAAACAGATTTTTCATATGATATGTTCTGATTATCATTGCTCCTCTCCCAATTTCTCCAGTATCCTTCTCAGCTCCTCATCCTTCCAAATTCACATGTTCTCCCCTCCACATTAGAAAACAAACAGGTGTTAAAGAAAAACAAATGAGAGAAAAAATATAATGAAATAATATGAAATAAAATCATAAAAACTTGAATAGAAAAAATCAAACAAGCAAAGAAGAAACAGAAAAAAAACACAGAGCCAAAAAAAAGCACTAAAAATACATAGAGACACAGGTACACACACAATGACAAGCACAAAATTTCCCTAAAAGCACAACATAGAATAACATGATATACAAGCAAAAAACCTGCAAGGTAAGATAAAAAGAAATAAAGGAAGGAAGGAAAGAAAGAAAGAAAGAAAGAAAGAAAGAAAGAAAGAAAGAAAGAAAGAAAGAAAGAAAAGTTATGAAGTTATGCCCGGACAAAACAAAACAACAACAAAAAATAAAACTCACTCATGATGTTTTTTCTGGTTCCATCCATTTGCCTGCAAATTACAAGATACCAGACTTTGTTGATTCCCCATGGGAAGCCTTACCTTTACTAAGGAGTGAATGGGGAGGGGTTTGTATGGAGAGAAGGTAGGAGGAACAGGAGGAGGGCAGGGAGGAGAACTGTTGTTGGTATATAACTAAAAAAAGCTTAAACAAAACAAAATAAAAAACTTCAAAAATTACTATTGAGTTAGTTAATGTGGGCCTTCTACATTTATGGATGGGACTTGGCCTTCATAGTAGTTTGTATGCCAGTGAGACTCCCTTGGAGAACACTGTTTTTTATTTACAATTGATTATCAGTTGGAGATAGTTTCTGGTCAGGGGTGTGTCCTCTTCCATTTCCAATGCTGGAACCCCATCTGGTACAGAGCTGTGCAGTCCCTTTAGTATGTTGCCATATTCTCTGTCAGGTCTTGTTTGCTTGACTTTCTCTAACCCCTCTGGTTTTTACCATGTTTGGCATTCCTCTTCAACCAGGTACCCTCAGCTTTCCGGGTAAGGATTTGATGGAGACATCTCATTTAGAACTGAGTGTTCCAAGGTCTCACACAAGATTCCCCTTGTCCACCTGTGCATCTCTGCATTTATTTCCATCTACTGACAGAGGGAGATACTCTGATGATGGAAGAATGAGCCACGGATCTATGACTGTGGCAGAATGTGCTTAGAAGTCATTTTGTTGCTATATTCCTTTTATAACAGTTGAATTTGGTTTTTATGAAGGTTACTAGTCCACCAAGTATAAGGCTCTTGGTTACCTTAGCAGTGTCACTAATGGGTTTCATCTCATGGAGTAGGAATTAAACACAATCAAATAATGGTTGTTAAGCTCTAAATGCAGTATGCCACTATTGTACTGGCTCATTTTGTGTGCAGGTCACCATTGTAGATGGAAAGTTTTGTAGCTTAGTTTGTGTTTACCTTACTCCTTTGGTAACATGGAGAGTGGTTTGAGTACCATGAATACTGCTCCACAAGGGTGTGGCTCTATGAAAGCAACAGCTTCACATCTAAGTGTCCAATAAGTTGTGTAAGTGTTGTCTTCAGCAATAGTCCCTTACTTAAGTTTGTGGAGAACTACAAGCAGTCTTGGCAATAGCCTGGTTCTTTGGTGGTATCTATGGGAACTCTTTGGTCATCAACTCAAATTCATGCACAGTACTGGGAGCTTCATTTGGTGAAATGAGTGGAGCAACTGGGCCTCTGTCTCCTCTACTATTTGGTGATTTCATTATTTCACCTTTCTGTATTCATATATTACAAGAAACTTTTACTGCATTAGATTTTTATACAACCCCTTGACATGGCCCTTAGTTTTAGTTGTTCCTCTCCAAATTCTTTTTCTAAATTTCTTATTCCATTCCCCTCCCTTTTTGACTCTTCTGTTTCCACTGTCCTCCTCATCAATCCATAACCCTAATTGTATTCCTAGGAAGATCCAATCCTCCTCCTTAAGTTATACTTAACATATGTGATTATATGGATTGTAGCCTGCTTATAGAATTTTTAACAGTTAACTTCTCCATATAAGTGAACACATGCCATATTTGTCTTTTATTGCTGAGTTGTCTCACTCAGGATGACATTTTTTCAAGCTCCATCCATTTACCTGCAAATTTCATTTTTCAAAATATTGTGTGAATTTACCACATTTTACGCATTCATCTGTTGATGGACGTCTAGTTTGTTTAAAATTTCTGGGTACTTTGAATAGGGTCATCATGAATATGATTGAGCAAGTGTCTCTGTAGCAAGGTGGAGAGTTCTTTTGATCCATGCCCAAGACCAGTATAGCTGGATCTGGAGGTAGATTGATTACCAGCTTTCCAAGGAACCACCACACTGATTTCCATAGTAGACGCACAGTTTTGTACTCCAACCAGAATTGGATAC